CCCAGGCAGGGAGGGGTGTTAGGAGCTGCCAGGTCCTAGACCTGGGAGGGAAGCAGAGTATGCTGTGGGGCCCTGGGGTCATACTGCCTTCACCTCCTACTAGCTGCTGACCTAGGGCGGTCCCTCATCTCTCCGAGCCTCAGTCGCCCCGTCTGTGAAATGGGGATGGCAGACCACGGCTTGGGGACGGGAAGTTTTGTTTCTTTTGCTTAGGGTTTCATGACTGTTATTACAGCGTGGTTCATGCAAGGCAAGATTTAAAAATGTACGGAAGAAAGTGAAATGAGTTAGAATACCCTCCCTCTGTAGGAGGAAAGGGAGAGGGAGACATGAAGGAAAGAGGGCCAGCGTGCAGCCACAGAGCCCTCCGCCACGGGCCGTGGTGAGGATTAAACAAGAGCAGGCTTATACGGCTCCTGGCAATGCGCCTGGTGCGTGGGGTGCTCCCACGTGGGGCTGCCCTTGGCCCCGACGCTGTCTCCCAAAGCCTCCCCTGGAAGCACAGCTGCGCGCAGCAGCGCTCAGCCCCGGCTCCACATCGAGCTCTTCCCGCAGAGGCAGAGACCCTGTGCTTGATTTGCGGAAGACAGGAGGAACCGCCACATCTAGAAACGCGCCCTATGAGAGGGCAGCAGTGGGTCCTCACCTCTGCCTCCTGTGCCCTCTCTCTAAAACGTGCCCCCTCCATGGCCACGGGCGGCATCTGGGTTCCACGTGGAAAGCCACGCAAATCGGCAAATTGCCTGCCTGGCAGCCTCCCTCTGCTAACCGAGTTATTCCGTTTATTTACATGATGTCACACCCAATTAGCAGGGTCGGCAGCCACCGCACGCTGCTCTTGGAGATACCCACCCACAGTACTCCCACCCTTGGTGCCCCCAACCTTGGGGCTCTGGGCTCCCAAGTGGCCTCTGAGGCCAGCCCCAGGGGCCCCCGAGCACCCAGCCTTCCATATCTTGTCAGCCCACCTCTGAGCTTCTCCACTTGCTCACGCCAGCTCACGTGGCCTTCAGCTTGGGCTCTGGGTGACCATTGGTGGGGGCAGCTCATTAGCAGAAGGAATGCCAGGCATCCCATTCGGTGGCTGTTGCTCAGTGGATCTGTGGCCTTGGCAAAGCCCCCTCCTCTCTATGCTTTTGTCACCTGTTTGGAGTGTGAGGTGGCTGGAGTGTGCAGAGAGACTGGGTGATACAGTGAAATGTGCAGGACAGACCTGGACAAACCCCATCTCAGCCACTGAGCCATGTGACCCTGGGGACATTCCTGAGCTTTGGATCTGTCGTCTGTAAAATGGGGTGGTGACAGCTTGCAGGGCTGCTGCAAAGTGTAGAAACAATATACGTAACACCATCCCCACGAGAGAGCAGGTGCCAGGTAAAGACTGCTATTGCTCTGCATGCCAGGACCTCTCTGTGGTTTCTTGTTTCTCCTATGAGCTGCTTGAGGGTAGAAACAGCTCCCTGTTCACCTCTGGAACCCTAAAGACAGGCATAAGGCCAGGCTCACGCAGAAATGGTTGGTGAGCAGTTAACTGTCCATCTGCTTTGCAGGCCAGCAACCTGACTACTTCAGAACAGCTTCCCAGCAGCACGTGGAGGGGCCAGGGCTGGGCAGGGTGAGCTAGGCCAACCTTTGATGGTCTGGGGATGGGAGCATAGATTTGAATCATAGGCAGAGGCTTCTTTGGCTGTGGTTGTTACTGGATACTAATACCCTGTCCCCCACCAGAAAGCCTGCCTGTCTCCATAATTCCTTAGAAGATCTGGGCTATATGCACTGGCCACTGAGTCTGTTGGGGCAGGAGTAGGGGATACCAATGCTCAGACCAGGGATTGGTTACCCAGACCAAGTGATGAATGCATCTTCTTATCAATCCATCTGTGACTCAAACGATCCATCCATCCATCCATCCATCCATCCATCCATCCATCAGTCCATCCATTCACCCAAAAATGAATCAATCCATCCATCCATCCATCCACTTGCCCAACCACGCATTCATCCATTCACTACTTTATCCATCACTCTTCCATCCATTCATCTACCTACCTATCCACCCAGAATTTATCCAGCCACCCACTCATCCATTCATTCATCCATTTATCTATCTATCATTTATATCCACCCACCCATCCACCCACATATCTACCCATCTATATGTCCATCCATCCACCCATCCATCCATTCCCTTAGCTATCCATTTATCAGTCCACCCCTCCTCTGCTCCCCCCAAACATACTTGGGCCCCACTCTGGGCTGGGCACCATGCTAGACTCTGCTGACTTAGAGATGAATATGGCACATCCTCTGTCCCCAAGGAACTTAGCCTGGTGGGAGACCTGATATATGCCCCCCAGGGCCTATAGCTCAGGAGAAAAAGAGCAGGATAGGTGGGGTAGTTGGGTGCCCAGGAGGCACTGGGGCTCAGAGATGAGCGGGTTGCAGATGCTCAGAAGGGCACCTGGGGCTTGGGGAGGCTTCTGGGCTGGAATTAGCTGATTTGCACAGCTTTGCACATGGAGCCCAGATGTGCCTGTGACCTCTGAGTGGGGCGTGTTATAGAGAGAGCACTAGTTATCCCAGGATCTCGAGGCTGAGAAGGGGGAAAGGCAGCAGAGCCAGAGCCTAGAGGGAAGATGGGTGGCAAGGTGCTTGGGGGATGGCAAATGCCAGCAATGGCTAGCACCAGGGTGGGTGGGGGAGGGAAGGCTGCACCATAGAGGTGAGGCAGGGCCGAGAGTCCGAGGCTGGGAGGCCCCTGATGGGAGCCACAGCCCCACCAGCCAGAGGCAGGCACAGCCAGCACATCGGTCACCCTCAGAGCATGCAGACCTGCTCGCCTTTCTCTTCTGATTAGGACACAGGATACCTGAGAATCAACAGTCTCCAGCCAGCCCGGCCGCCCTCTGGGGCAGCTGTGGAGCAGACAGACATCAGTGCTGAGCTGTGTCTGACGGGAGGTGTGGGAGGGGGGTGTGAGGATGCAGGGAGCTCTGGAAGACCCGGGGACATCTGGACAGCCTGCTCACGCTCACAAATGTGCCACTATCTGGCCAAGTGCAGGGCTGTGCGCGTGTGTGTGCGCGTGCACGCGGGGCAGCCTGGGATCAGGCATTGAGCCCATCCAGGGCCTTCAGCTGCTCCGGCACTCACTGGCTGGACATGCACTACGATGCCCATTCTACAGACAAAGTCAGGTGAAGTGGCCATTTAATCAAGGTCAGGCAGCTAGTAAGCGGTAGAATGGGGACTCAGGTTCGCCGACAGGTAAATCTGAGCCCCATCAGGGCATCCTGATTCCTGGTGATGCAGAGACAGGAGTGGGGAGAAGATCAAGTTGTGAGCAGGTCTCAGGAAGAGCAGTGTACCTGGCACACAGAGGGGCACAGGCACGGTGGGGCATGACTGTACTGTTGGGGGTGGAGGCCACTGACAGCTGATCCCTTATGGGCAGGAGAAACTGGGTCAAAGGCAGAGCTGGGAGAGAGCCCTGTAGAGCCCCGAAGAGGAGGAGGGAAGGGCAGGGGAGGAGGGAGTGCGTGGTCTGGTTTCTATTCTGTGACCATGAGCAGAGGCGTAATTGGCGTTCGGGAGAGCTGTTCGGGCTGAGTTCAATCTGTAACAAGTCTTCTTCAATTTCCTCTCCTCAGACCCTGCATGGGCTTCTGAGACTGCTCTGCTTGATGCTCATGAGAGGACACACATCCCTTATTCCCACGGACTAGCCTCAGCTCCACTGGGCCCTGGCGCTCAGGGAGGGCAGGCTGGGTGGGGCTGGGGCTATGAGCTCTGCTCTGCAGGGTCCTGAGACCAGCAGCCTATGCTGGTGACCTGAGCTTCTTGCTGAACCCACCTAAGCCAGGGGCCTCACCCCAGCACTCCCGTCCCTGTCGCTGAGGCACAGAGGACAACAGCCGCTGCTGCTATTAGCTGATCATCCGCCACATGCCAGGGCTGAGCTGTGTGCTTCACCCACAACATCCTCGCAGCATCCTACGAGGTCGGTCTTATTGGCCCCATTTGACAGAAGGGGAAACATGCTCAGAGAAATGAAGCAACAGGCCCAAGATGGCACTGTGGGGACATGGCGGAGTGAGGATTCATGTTCAGGTCTGTCTGGTGCCAAGGCGCAGGCCCCTTCCAGCATATCTGCTCCTTCCTGGAGTACAATAACAGTCTGGAGTCTGAACAGGTGCTGCCACGCTGGGCAGCAGGGAGGCTGAGCCCAGAGGGGGCACATCACTCCTGGCCGCCACTGGGGGCCACCCGCCTGCCCACCAGGCCTCAACCCGTCTTCCCAAAGCGGGGGCCGCGGAGCCCACTGCGAAGGGCTCCCCAGCGCCCAGCAATCCAGGGTACTGGTGGTCGAATCACCTCTTGAGTTTGGTGTGAGCATCGGCAGGAGGGGGACCTCGTTGCCCTCAGGGACGAAGTCCCCCAGCACCAGTGGGGTTGGGCTGTGTAACTTCAGGCGCCTCCCCTCCCCTCTCTGTTCCTCTTCTGTAAGAGGGTCTAATTTCCAAGGACCTTTCCTTTTCTGTCTTCTTATAGAGAACCACCGGAGCAGAGGGTGGGGAGCTTAGGTCTGGGGCGGAGGTTAGGCACTTCAGGCATCCTCACAACAGCCCAGAGCACACAGCAGAGCCCAGAGAGGGCATGAGGCTGGCCCAAAGTCACACAGAAGGGAGGGGGAGGGACAGGGCAGAGCCAGCATTTGAACCCAGGTGTGTGTGATTCCAGTGTCACGCTGGTCCATACTAGCATCGTTCTCACAGGCTGGGTGGTCATGGAGTCGAGGCAGTCACCTCCTGCCTAGTGTCACCTCCACACCGTGCCCAGGATTCCCAGCACAGTGCACGCTGGCACCCCTGCTGCTCCGCCTGCCTGGCTGCCCTGCCTTCACAGCTGCCAGGCAGGGGAGCCCAGGCCACACACTCACCTGCTTGATGCACTGCAGTCGGTCATTGGTCTGCTGGATGTGCCTGTCCATAGAATTCATTCTGGCCGTTTCACTGGGTTCTACCCGAGAGCCATGAACGTTGTCCAGCCTGTGAAGACAGAGGAGAGAGGGTGTCACTGGGGTCTCATCAGGCCTGCCAGTCTCATAGCCACCCTCTGGCCCCAACACCGACATGCTGGCCCCAGTGGCTCCTGGCAGGTTCCAGGGCCCTTTCCACACCGTGGTGGCCTCTGCCTCAGGCAGCCCTGCACCGGAGGGAGGGACCATGGCCCCAGCTGCCCAGGCAGCCCTTCCCCACCTGTGGCCCTGAGGAAGCGCCATCTGGGCTGAGGGCAGGATGTGCTCCTGGGTGTTCTCCGTGGGGGCTAAAGAACATGCTCGTAGGAGTGGAGTTGCTGGCCCGTTTGGGCATTGGTACTTTTGAGAAGTGCTTTCTGGGTTTGCTATATCTTGGAGCTCTCCAGCAGAAAGGTAAAAATAGGGGTAGTGCCCATATTTATTTCCTCCACCCTTACCCTGCCAACCATCCCTCCTTTCACCCCACCTATCACACATTTATATACCCAGATATCCAACTTCTACATTCATCATTTATCCATCTAAATGCCTGTCCGTCCATCCGTCCACGTATCCACCCATCCATCCAAACATCTTTAGTCCCCATGTCCATCCATGCATGCCTCCTACTCACCCAATACATACTTTTCAATATCTATACTGGGCCGGGTCCTATACTAGATCTCTGGGGCATGCAGAGATTAAAATGAAATAATTCTCTTGTCTTCAAGGAACTCTTGGTCCAAGCCCGTATTCACTCCAGGTCACCCAGCAGGTGACTATGTCACACAGCCCCTATAAGTCAGGTGCTGGTCCAGGCACTGGGCACATATAGACAGTTACTATATCCCCACTTTACAGATGAGCAAACTAGGCCCAGAGGTTATAGTAGCAGCTGGCTCCAGAATCCTGGATTCCCCATTACAGCCTAAACTTTTATACAGATACTGCGGAGGGCCGGGGTGCCCGCTGGAGGCTGCTGTGCTGCTGTAGGCATGTGTGTCAGGGGAGAAGGAAGTGGTGAGGGTGTCGCTCCCCTTGCTACACTTGTAGGTCCCCCAACCAAGGGCTGAATGTCTCCCTCTGAGTTTACCTGCACCCAGCCTCTGCCAGCGCTCACATGATGAGGGCTCCTGGGGGCAGAGACAATCATGGTGTGGGAAGCAGGGACACGAGAGGGCCGAGAGGGGGAGCGAGCCAGTGCCACCTTCAGTGAGGTCACCTGGGTTCCCGGTGGCAGACCCCTTCTGAGTTGAAGGGTCCCTGGTGGTCTCCTAGGCACCACATGGGACACGGGGCTGGGGAGGCCCAGCCTCACCCTGGGCATGGGTGAACACTGGCCGCCAGGGTCCCAATTAGAGAGCAGTTTTCACAGCTAGCTGAAGGGACCATTGAAAGAAGGCCTGGTCAGCTCAGGAGGAGGCTGACGGGAAGCACAAAGAGAACCAGACCTATGCAGGCCTCCATCCCCCTGTCCTCAGGCCGCAGCCAACCAGGACAAAGGGCCTGCGGTGGCCCAAGAGGCCAGCAGGGGGCGATGTTGGCAAACCTAAGTGCCCAGAAGGCTAGAAAGCTGCACTGTGGAGGTCTGGGGCTCTCTGCTCCTGCTCAGGGCCCTCATTCACTGCAGAGAGCCCGAGTAAGCGGCTCTGAGCAGGCTTCCCTGGCTTTCTAGGCCTTGGTTTCCCCATTTGTAGAGCAGGATGGTGAGGATGCGGGATTAGGTGGTCTCACAGGCTCTACGTAGGAACTTCTCTCAGATGGGCATGACATTTTGTCTAGGGTCAGAGACCTAGATAGCGGGGCCTTGATAAAATGCTTGTTGAATGACTGACAGAGCGTTTCGGGAGCCTTGGGGCCCTCAGCCCACTCAGGCAGCCACCTTGGGGCCTAGAGGCTGTTCTTCCCTGTCGATCCACGGCAGGGGGGCCCAAGTCTTACTTTAGGAAGCACACAGTAAAGCAGGAAGCAGAAGTGTCCAGGTTTGTGTCAGTCCCCAGGCGGCTCACGGGCCAGCCTGTCTGGAGGCCAGTGGCTGGACTGATTCAGCTTCTAGATGCAAAGATTCTCAGAACAACAGCAAAAGGTGCTTTGAGGTCTCCCACCACCCTAACGGTTCTGCTGGTCTTATTTTGGGGAGCCTGAGGCCCACAGGTGGTTTGTTCAAGGCCACATGGCACCTCAGGACTGGGTCCCAACCCCAGAGGGCTTTTCTCCCAGGCCAGGGCTCCACGTTGCAGGAACCAAGAAATGGATGGCTGGGCTTGGGACACCTGTGAGATCCAGAGCGGGGGTGGCAGCTAGCAGGATCACAGAGACAAGTGTGCATCGTGTGTGACAATCTACAGAAGAACAAAATGTCTGGCTGATTAAGGAGGCACTCACAGGTGAGGTGACATTTTTAAACTGCTGGGATCAATGGAGAATCAGGGTTATTAACATCAGGAATGGATGGGGCTGGCGGCTCCCGTCCCCGCAGGAGAAGGTCAGGGCCTGGAAGGCATGGAGAGGGGAGGGGTGGGCTGAAGGAGGCACGGGAGGGGGAGCTCACTGAGGGCGGGCTGGGATCTTCCATTTGTGCACCTGCTACGTGCAGGCATTGGGCCAGGCCCTGTGCACTGCTCATTTACTTAGCCCTAACAGGCCCAGAGAGGTGATGCGACCTGCCCAGGGTCACACAGCCGGGAAGGTGTTGGCCTGAGATTCAAACTCTCTGCCTTTCTAACTGTTAATGTGTTGCTCTTTCCACTCCTCAAAGACTGGAGGTCAGAGCCTCCTGCAAGTCCCCACTTCAGGCTGTGACTGGCCCAAAGAGATGTCCCCCTGGTTCCACCCAACCTGTCCAACCCACTTGCTTCCAAGGCCATCGCAGCACCACTGGGCACCCTGCATGCCGGCCGGCGCGGGGAAGCAGTGAGCGCTCGGCGGCCAGCAGAGGTCGCCCTCCACCGCGGGAGCCTCCCTCCTCCGAGCCAGGACTCCTTTAAGCCTGTACCAGTAGCTACAAATCCTCCGTGGCTGCAGCTCCAGTGCCCACAGTGGCCAGGCTCCCTCCCTGGAGATCGCTGTGGGCCTGGCCCTGGGTGCCCATGGCCACAGCCCTGCCTATGCCCTGTCTGCCTCCGAATGGGGAGCAGGCTCAAGCAGTCAAGCCACCACCCCCTCTGGCCCCTGGCCTTCTCTCTTGGTCTGAGCAGCTGCAAGCCTGTAGGAGACGCAAAGCTAATCAGCTTGGGGGACCTGGAGGGGACCCTGCTCTGCCACCTTCTTCTAGGCCTCAGTTTCCCCATATGGAAAACAAAGGCTGTTCAGCCTTTGACAGCCCTTCAAACCCCAACATCTTAGGATTTCTGTGTCAGAGCTCCAGCTGTTTGAAAAACTCCATCTCGACAAGTGCAGAATGCTTGGCATTAAAAGTGCAAAGCCTGTCCCAAGGCAGGCCTGCGGGGATCCTGCAGGCCCAGGAAGCTCCCGGAGAGCTGCTGTTCCAGGGCAGCCCAAGTCCACAGGTGCTGCCCCTTTCTCAGTGACACGCCTTTCCTGCACCTTGTGCTCAGCTCGGCTTAACTGAACATCTGTACGTTTTCTGATTGATAGGGACATCTGGGTTGGCTGGGACTCTTCGACTCCCAGGTGAGCTCTTGAAGGGCCAAGTTTCCATTTTACTCATCTCACCACCTAGGATAATGCCGGCCGAGTTTACCCTGAGTGGTGTCTAGCATAGAAGACATGCTCAAGGAAAGTTAGCTGCTGTTATGCACATATGGCTGCTCAAAGAGAAGACTGCTGAGAGCTGAAAGGGCATCTGGGGACTGCCTGGTCCTATGTCCTCATGCCGCAGGATGGGAGGCAGGGACTGAGAGGGGGACAGACACAGAGGGAGGCCAGGGCCGGTGAGGCTGGAACCCATCTGGCTGTTCTGAGTAGGGCCCTGGGTTGTCTCCGGGCGCCCTGGAAGCATGTCTCCTGGTCTGAAAGGTTGGGGGAGGCACACGGCCCTTGGCGGGCTCCTCCCTGGAAATGCAGAACGGGGTGCTCTTAGCTGCCCTGTGTGGAGTCCTGGAGCCCTGGAGACCGCTCCCTAGGGTGGCGGGCCAACACTGGCTGTACTAACACCAGTGTGTTTTATTGTTCATTTTTGAGATGAAACAAGTTAACCAGTACACTTAACACACATGGATCCAGGGGAGAGGTATTGCATACATGTGTGCACACTTACATACATGTGTCCCCTTTGCACACTTAGGAGTAGGTACATGCACACACTTGAGTGCTGGCACTGACGCACTTGAGCACACACATCTTCTGACAGCTTGCACAGGCAAGTGGCGGGTCCCCAGGGGAGCTGTGCCAGCAGTGGTGTGCAGAAATGATTCAATCACCACGCACATCTGCAGCTCAGGTCCCCCAGGGCGAGCAGTGTCGGTGGTGGTGGTGAGGGGGGGCTGTACCTACAGCCTGCAGAGCAGAGGCTGCATTCTAAGACATCGCCAGAGCCAGTGAGCTTGGCACATGCCCACTGCTCAGCCTGGTGGGAGAGCCTGGGGTCCAGGGGCCCCATCCCCACCAGCCCCTTTACTAGCTCTCAGACTCCGAAAGGGGCAGATGTCATGGGCCCTGGGTTCAGCAGTGACCTGCCAACCCTGCATGTGCCAGCACCAGTTCAGGTCTTCTAGGACTGGCCTCCACCTCCCACTGCTGCCAGCCACATCCCATGTCCCTCACATGGGGCTGCTCCCCGCCTCCTGGACTATGCTCTGAAGATCACACCTCTGTGTCTTTGCCTCTTTCCCTCAGTCTAGAATGCCTGGCCCCCTCTCATCCACCGAGGTCTGGTTCAACTGTCACCCTCTTTGTTGGTTTCCCCCAGCAGAGCCGCTTACTGCTACTCCTATGCCTGCAGTGTCTCTGTCACGCACCCTCATCTCGGTAGTGCTGGACCAGTGGTGTGTCTTTGCATTATCTCCCCAGTCAGCTGGGATGTCTTCTGGTTACGGTTTCCCAGAGCCTAGCCCAGGGCCTGGCATACAGCAGGCGCTCGGCAATGCTCATCAGATGGATGGACAGCCATCACTGGGTGTACACATGACCCAGAATGATAACAGCTGAAAACCCAGCGACCCAGCCCTAATCAGAGGATCTTGGGGCTGGAGCGACTCCAATAACCCAGCTGGGCATTCCCAAAGAGTGATGCATGGACCACCAGTGGAACAAGGATGATTTTAGATGGTTCATGGGCAAACATTTTACACTTTCCTAGTGAAGTACTTGGACTAGAACAATTATCGCTGGTGAGGTCATGGATATTATTATTTAGGATCAGGTTAAATTAGGGAGTGATGACAGACCCAAGTATACTGATTAAAGGAACATGTTGAACACAGTATAAATGGGAGGCAAGTGACTGAGGTTAGGGAAGCACTGATACCGTGCGATGCCCTCTTCATCTGAAAGGTGAGGAGCGGAAGCTCAGAGAGCTGCCTGTGGCCAGGAGGCAGTTGACTCCTCCACTCCCAGTCCTCAGTAGCCGCACCAGGCGCGCTGCCTAGAGGCAGGGGAAGAGCGTGGTGGTGAAGCAAAGACAGCCGGAGAGTGAGTTTGTGCCCTCCCCCAGGGAAGTCAGGGGAGAAGGGCAGAGGGACAGGAGACGAGAAGGGGAGAGGGAGGGCAGGGGCTGCTCCAGGCATCTGCCCGGGACCAGCTGCTTCCCACTCTTGGCTGGGCAGCTGGAGCAGGCCCTTGGGCCAGCTTGAGGCCTTGGACAGGGTGAGGCCCCTGGGTAGGGGATGGGCCCTGAGAGCCAGACCTTCCTGGCGGTGAGGTTGTGGGAGGCCACTTTATTTCCCGGAGCCTGTGTCCTCGTCTGTCAAACGGGAAGGTGCATCCTCTCCCTGCCCCACTGGGCTGAGGAGCTGAGTACGTGAAGTCACTTCGGGAACAGTGTTCTGAAAAGGGAAATTCTGATCTGGACAACAGCTCTTCCAAATTCACTTCCTCTCTCCTCAACCTGGGCAGTGTCCCTGTGCCAGGGCTTGATAAGGAATCCACATCTCCTGGCCACAGAGTTCAGATGCTTTTGCTTGGCACTCGAGGCCCCTGGAAGGGTGGACCCACTTCTCTCCATGACCCAATCTACCAGCACTCAGCCTAGTCTACAGGAACACCCATTGTCAATGGTGGTTAATGGGACAATACAATGTGTTTCAGAGGGGGGTTCCTGAGGGCCTATGTCTGACAGCCTGTTCTGGGACACAAAAGTTAATCCAGAGGGAGGGATGACTTACTTGGGAGAATATGTGTTGATGTTGCCCTGACAAAGGTACCAGCCCACGCTCCCGACCCACACTGGGCTGGGAATCCCAGCTGCATTTGGGTGTGCCTCATCCCTCTGGGACATGTGATGCATTGGCAGGCCCAGGCCATGCCCTTGAGGCCAAACCCTTCTGCCACTCTTGGCTGCACTCCAAATCCCTGGCCTCACAGTGAACTTCCTCCAACAGCTTCTCTCCCCAAAAGGCGAAGGAGGGCCAGATTCAGCCCTGGACAAGGTCATTGGGTTTTCTCTCACCCCCAAGGCTATGCCCCTGCTTTTTATTTTCTCAGAGTGGAAAGAGAAACTAAACAACTATTGAAGCTATATGTGCCAGACACTAGGTTCTCTACTTATAGCACCTCACTTAAGCCTCGAAATTCTACTGTGATGTTCCAACTATTATCACCTTACTACAGATGAAGAAACTGAGGCTCAGAGAGGCCCACAACTTGCTCAAGGTCACACTGCTGAGAAGTGGCAGTGCCAGGACTTCCTGGTCTGACCATAAAGCCCGTGATGTTTTACTACATCATGCTCTCCACGGGGATGTGGCAGGCCTTCTTCAACTAGACACTTCCTTCCCTGGCCCCAACTGCCCTGCATCTGAAGATGGTGACGGTCATTGCTGTGGAGTGCTGAGGATGGTGCAGAGATGGGAAGTCACAATCCTGCCTGAAGCTGTTGGGTGCTGGGCCCTGGCCACAAGCCTCCCCCAGGACAGCAGTGCTCATGCAGTGGTCCTGACCTGGCTGTGTCTCTAGGCACTTGCCTGTGATTCTAAAGACTCAGATGTCACGAAGTGGGGAAGAGGGAGGGTGGGAACAGTTCCCCAAGGGTCCTCAGAGGACACGGGGTGGAACGAGGCTGGAGATGGAGCCGAGGCCTGCTGACCACCAGCTGGTATCCTCTTGAAGGCTGTAAATGCCCTGCAGATGTTCTCCAACTCTGGCTCTAGAAGTAAAGAGGTGTTCTCCACTGCCCTCTCCCTACCCCAGCTCCTCGAGGCTCCTAATCCAACCCCCCCGGCATTATGCAGGAGGCTCAGACAGGGGCAGGGCCAATGGCATGCCCCAAAGAGAGCCAGACAGAGCTAGATGAGCCCGTAAGGACCACCTGGGAGGCAGGGCTGTGGTGTGTGGGATGCCACCCCACCTCTTGCACCCATGGCAGGCATGGCTCATCAGTCACCACGCTCCTCTCACTGCATCCAGACATGCTCAGCCAATCTTAGACACGCTCTTCTGTCCAGCCACTCTTAACTACCTTGTACCAACACACGAGAAGAAGACTTCTGGGCAGCACCATCTTTGAAAGAAGAGTGAACAGAGGCCCAGAGAGAGGAGGGCTTAGCTTGAGGTCACCAGCCAGTCAAGGCATGAGCAGACATCTGCAGGCAGATTTCTCGACTCCTGACTTGGTGCTCTTTCTGCTCAACTGAGAGTCAGAGCCAGGCTCTTCTCGAGCTGAGAGCCAGGTATGGACCACACAGGCGAGCCAGCCACGCTTCAAGCAACCTTAGACCACAGCCTCACAGCAGCTCGTGGGCAAGTATTATCCCATTTTGCAGACAAGAAAATCGAGGCTCAGAGTTGGTGAGTGATTTCTACCCAGTCACAGAGGGAAGTGTGGCTGACCCAGGACAGCGGCTGTCCCTCCCGAGCCTGGGCTGTTATTTTTACTAACTGAGTATGCCTTCTCCTTTAGTTAATTGCTATGAACTGTCAGAATTTTCTTAATTTCTCAAAAGAAAAAAATTAGGAAAGCAAAGGAATCAGAAAGTAGATATTCATTTGAGCTAAAAGTGGCAGACGAAAAAAAAGACACAAAGAATAGGCCTCATGGCTTAGATCAGGAAGGGATCTGGGGATCTGCTCAGGCCTATCCTACCATTTACAGATGAGGAAACTGAGGCCCGGGGCAGCAATGGGGGCAGAGGTAGAGCAGAGCCTTGAAGGCCCCATTGTGGGTAAGACGTGGAGCCGAGCTTACACCCAGGCCTCGGGGAGCTGCCCTGAACTTCTCTGCTCTCTGTGCCCCTAACCACGTCCAGGCTCTCCCTGCAGATGCCTGTCTGGGCCAGGCCTGCGGCCACAGACAGCTCAGAGAGAGGCCTGCTCCGGGGAGCTCCCTGCAGCCTGGGGGTGGGGGTGGGGTAGAACAGGGTGACTGTGGCAGGCCGGGCAACCCTGACAGGAGCAGGTGCTCAGCTCCCACTGGGAAGCATCTGGGGTTTCCCCTGCAGAAGCCCTGTGAGGTCCCCATGGTTCCACATGGAGATTGTCAACATCCCAGCTGAGCTGAGCCTGGCACACTGACCCCAAAAACCCCTCCCCCACCTAGAGAAGGCCTGTGGCGCAGGGGGTGAGTCAGCTGGGTCTGGTGCCCATCACCCCGCCTGTCATCTCGTCTGCACTCAGGAAGTCTCTGGGTTTGAGGCTACGCCGGGAGTGGGGGCCTCAAACCCTCCAGGGGCAAGCTGGGTACCCCACAAGCAACCTGAAAACATGCTTCCTGAATGTCTGTTGAGAGACAAAAATTCACGCCAGGAGCTCCAAAGCCGTATGCTGACTTGATGCCCTTGATGTGCAAGGCGCTCTACAGTTTACAAAGCACTGGTGTCATAACCTCATTTGGCAGTATGTTAGTGGTTAAGGATACCAGGCTGCCTGGGTTCAAATCCTAGCTTTGCCACTTGCTAGCTTCTGTGACCAGGGGCAAAATGCCACCTCTGCATGCCTCAGGCTCCCCATCTGCAAAGCGGAAGCAATAATAATTGTACCTACTTTACGGGCTGCTGTGCTCATTAAGTGAGTCAGTGAATAGGACGCACTCAGCACAGCCTGCATGTGAGCACTGGTTCTACACGGGGCCCAGGTGGGCCTTATCATCTCCATCACAGGCAGGAGGAAACGGGGGCTGAGAGGAGCTGGCGGCTGCTGGGGTGGGGGGTGAGGGGTGGTGGAGCTAAATGCCACCGCCCTGGACTAGACACTCAAGATTTTCAACTTCTTTTTTTAAAACCATTTTTAAAGTTTATTTTTAACCT